GGCTTCCAAAGGTCTTTGAAAGATCTGTTGGTCACGGCTCTGCTCAGCAGGAGCTTCCCTGGCGTGTCCGAGGGGATTACATCCACATGGGCTATGCGAGGCCATCCCAGCACCCAACACAACAGTGCCTGCCTGTGCAAGGGCCTTTCTCCAGCCTGTTTTTTGTTTGGGTCCCTTGGTCCTTGCTCGTGGCCTTTTTGTCCATCTTCTTCCATCATCATCAGCAGCAGCAGCATCATCAGCATCATTATCATCATCCCAGGATGGTTTGGGTGGGAAGAGACCTTAAAGCCCATCCAGGTGCACGCCCTGCTGCAGACAGGCACACCTTCTACCAGGCCAGGTTGCCCCACGCTTCCTCCAACACAGCCTTGAATTTGTCCAGGAATAGGGCAGCCACAGCTTCTCTGGGCAGCCTGCACCAGGGCCTCACCACCCTGACAGGGAAGAATTTCTCCCCATTATCCCACTAAACGCTGCCCTCAGTCAGTTATCACGTAAGCATTTATAAATTGTCTCCATTTCAGCACCTTTGAATGTCCAGACACCCCAGGTGCAGTGCCTCCACCACGCCACGCTCTCAGTCAGGGATTCCAGCCTTTATCCCTGGTGAGGGATGGGACAGCATCCCTCATGCCTCCCTCACCCTCACCTGCCTGAAGCAGCAGCCCAGATCAGTCGCGGTGGCTTTCCCCTGACAGGTGGGCTCTGCCCCCTCCTCCTTTGCCTCCTGCTCCTCCTCCCTCTTGTCTTGCTCCTCTTCCTCCTGCCTGGCAGGGATGTGGCTGCTCGCCCCCCGCGGGTGTTCACAGCTGGCATCTCCGTGGGCCGCCGGTCACCCCGGCACAGACCCAGGGGTCCCGCCGCCTCCGGCAGCCAGCAGGGCACAGCGGGCGTGGATGGAGCCTCGCCCAGCCCCAGCCTGCCCGGGGACCCTGGCCCTGCCAGCCCCGCTGGGGCAGGAGCCCCGGCAGCACCGGGACCAGCGCTGGAGAGCTGGAGCCTGGAGTGCCGCGGAGGTGCAGAGCAAGCAGATGGAGTGGGGCTTGGCAAAGGGATGGGAAAACCCAGGAGAGAAGTTCAATATGCTGAAAAGGCAGGAGCGGGTGGGGACAAGCCGAGGCTTTCAGGAGCAAGCATTCCCTCAGGGATGGCCACCACCTGCCTTCTGCAGACACAGGCCACTTGAAGATGTAAACTGCTTTTCAGGATGGATTTCACCCTCAGATCCTGAACTTTCTCTGCTCCATCTGCAGCCCTCCCATCTGACACTGCAGTTCGTGAGTGCCTCAAACCGGTGCCGCTGCCAAGAGGAGCTGCCACCTCCTCCACTACCTCCTCCTCCTTCTCCTCCTCCTCTTCCTCCCCCTCCTTTTCCTGCCGCTGCTCCCACCCCAGAGCAGCCACCCTGGTACCTGCGGTGCCCCTGGCAGTGGGGTGGAACAGGGTGGGTGTGAAGGTCCCTTCGCAGCCAGACCATTCTGTGACACCGGGCAGTGCCAGGGCCCACGTGGGGCAGCAGGAGGGTCCCCACAGCAGACTCACAACATCCACCCAGCATGCAGGGCTGGGAGCAGCACCCCCAGAACAGAGCTGAGGGGAGCCCAAGGCCCAGAGCTGAGCTTCAGTCAGTGTCCGAGCAAAATGGGCAGAGAGGGGGGTCCCGGGGGCTCTCCAGGCCTTTATGGCTTCTCAGGGCCCTGGGACAGTGAGGTGTTTGATCACTTCTGCAATAAAAACTGGGGCTTTCTTTCTGTGGGGACATCTCTGTTGGGAGAGCTGCGAGCACAGCTGGGCGACCCTGCTGGGGAGCCTGCTCCCCTTCCCCAGAGCGAGGGGAGCAGGAACTCCATGTGTCTTTGGGAGGCTCAGGCTGCGAGTCCTCCTGTGCACCCCCGAGCTGTGGCTCCTGTTCCCAAAGGCAGCGGCGCTTCACTCCTGGCAGCGCTGGCTGGGGGACAGAGGTGTTTAATGCACCCGCCGTGACAGGGACTGTTCTGTGGAGCACGGAGGTGCCGGCTGCAGCGTTAATCCCTCCCGATCCGCAGCACGCGGCTGTCAGTGGCAAACCCAAAATGCGCTGCTCAGCGTTGGGAGCGTGCTGCTGTGCCTGCCCGGGGGTCCGCGCAGCTCGGGGGAGCGCTGGCTGGGGGACAGAGGTGTTTAATGCACCCGCCGTGACAGGGACTGTTCTCTGGGCTGGGATCAGCCAGCAGCTCTCCCCGGAATGGCTGCAGCTCTGTAATCTCGCTCTGGAGCACGGAGGTGCCGGCTGCAGCGTTAATCCCTCCCGATCCGCAGCACGCGGCTGTCAGTGGCAAACCCAAAATGCGCTGCTCAGCGTTGGGAGCGTGCTGCTGTGCCTGCCCGGGGGTCCGCGCAGCTCGGGGGAGCGGAGAGCACCAGAGGGTCCCACCCAGAGCTCTCGTCCCCTCTGTGCCCAGGACACAGCACGGCCGCTGGCCTCGTGGGGTGACACCGTTCACAGGGCCACGGCTGCTGTGTCCCTTGTGTGCCCCACCGCGATGCCATCGGCCACCTCAGGCCACCCCGTGGGTTTTGGTGACACCTGGGACCTGTGCCACTCCAGGTGTCCGCCTGCACATTGAAGGGCCCCAGGATCCTGCTCTGGGACGGGGAGTGGGTCCCGTCAGCGCTGCCTCCGCACGAGCCAGGGTCTCCACGGTGGTCATCCCTGTCTGAGGTGGTGTCCCAGTGTCCCCAGTGCCCCTCGGGGGCAGAGTCCCTCTGTCACCCCGCTCTGGTCACGGCCCCGGAGCAGCTGGACTGTCCCAATGTGTGGGCTCTGGGAAAGGGGCTGAAAATGGAACAAGGTGGATTAAACCCCCCGGGCACTGTGGCACAGCAATCCCAGCAAGGCCTGTGGGACAGGAGGGGGCTCGGCCCAGCCACGGGGGGAGAAACAGGGAGAAACACTGAGGAAAGGTGAAATGGGGAGTAAAGAGCAACCAGGAGGAGGGGACCATGAACCCTGGCAGAAACACAATGGGGCAGCTCAGCCCCTCCTGGGGCTCCATTCCCTTCCCAGCTCCATTCCCTGGGCACGCTCCAGCCCCCCAGGGTCTGCATTGGCAGCCCGGGGGCCGGGCACTGCCGGGTTCCCCTGTGCCCAGGAGGGCAGAGCCGCCCCTCGCAGCCCCAGCCCGCGGGGCAGAGCTGCAGGAAGGGGCTGTGCCACCTTTGGGTGTCACTGTCGGGTCCCCGCGCTGCTGACCCCTGGCACCACCCCAGAGCCGCCTGCGGCGCCCTGCGGAGACACCGACCGGCCGCGGCGTGAGGGCAGGGCAGGGCAGGGCAGGGCTGGGCTGGGCAGAGCTGGGCTGGGCTGGGCTGGGCTGGGCTGGGCAGGGCGTTCCCCGCTCCAGGACCGGCCGCAGCTCCCTTCACCCATCCTTCAGGAGAGCACTGAAAAGTGCAGGGCGCTCGGAGCAGCCCTGGGCACGGCACACCAACACGCCTGGCTCCTCAGCAGCAGGTTTGAGGAGCACTCTCTGCTCAGCTTTCCTGGAAACTGAGCGTGACTGCGTGGCACTGGGGAAGCACTTTCAGGGGCGCATTAAACAGCTTCTTAATCGAGGCAGGCTGGAGGATGGAAAAGTCTCACTCTCTGGGAGGTGAAGCCAGACAAATCCACAGTGACAACCAGACACCGGATTTATCAGGGAGGGATGAACCGCTGGATAAACCTCAAATCTGAGCAGACACAACCTCTCCAGAGTGGATTCGGGCTCGTTCCAGTGTCGGGAAGGGATAAATCCCGGTTCTGTGCCTGCAGGATCAGTTTAAATCTGCTGCTGCCTCACGTCGCTGCTCTGACAGCCCCGGGGTGAGCTGGGCACCTCGGCAGCCCCACTCACACGGGTTTTACCCTGCTCGGAGCGGGGGTCCCCCACCTGCAGCCCCTCATCCCCCAGAGGCAGCTCCCACCCAGAATCCCAGCACGGGAATCATGAATTCCCTCCCCAGCCCCAGATACCCTCAGCAGGAAGGGCTGCCCTGGCACGCTGATGCCTCCTGGTTTTATCCTGATTTCATCCTGATTTTTTTCCCAGGAAAAATAATATGGAGGAGAAAATCCTCCTAATTTCATCCCAGGAGGTGTCAGTGCCACAGCAGCGAGGGACCTGTGGAGGGGACACCCTGGGGACAGGGACATTGCTGCCCAGAATTTCCCCTCCACCCACAATTGTCCTTTATGGGAGAGTCAGTTTGTTCCCATCTCCCCCATCCCTGTTGCTGTATTTCCATGGTTGGACCTCTTCACCTAAAAGTAAGAATTTTTGACATAAAACTAAGAACTTTTCACTTAAAATTAAGAATCTTTCACTTAAAATGAACAATATCTAGCCTAAAATTAAGACATTTTCACCTAAAATTAAAAATTTTTAACCTAAAATTAATAATTTTTCACCTAATATAAAAGATTTTAATCAGAGGCTGCAGGTGGCTTTGGGTACTCCTGGGGATTCACAGAATCACCGAGGGTAGAAAACTCCCAGAGATGCATGAGCCCTCCCGCCCTCAGCACAGCCATGGCCCCCACTGCCCACGTCCCAAGTGACACATCCACAGAATTTAAACCTGCGAGTATCTAGAGTATCTGGGAGTGGCTGGAGCCATACTGGGGGTGACCGCTAGCAACTGCAACTATGCTGGGGACAAATGGCATCACACTGGGGTTAACTGGGTTAGTTAGAATTACACTAGGAGCAACTGGAACTATACTGGGATCGTATTTGGAGCAGCTGGGCCCACGCTGGGGTAAAACTGACCACACTGGAAGTGTCTGGGAACATACTGCACATTACTAGAATAATTCGGGGAGGCGCTGGGATCGCGCCGGGAGCGCGGGTGCCCTGGGAGTAACCGGGATTGGACGGGGCGTGCCCGGCCCGGCCCGGGACTACAACTCCCGGCGTGCTCCGCGCGGCGGCCACGCCCCGCTATGGCTCCTACAGCCAGGACTACGTGTCCCATCGCCCCCCGCGCCCGGCCGGAAGCGGCGCGATGGCGGCCCGAGCCCGGTCCGGTGCGGCCGCGGCCCCGGTTCCCCGCGGCCCCGCGGGCTGAGGCCGCGCCCGCCCGGTACCCTCTCCCGGTGCGCTCCCGGTCCTGCCATCGCCATGGCGCTCATCGAGGGCGTCGGCGATGAGGTGACGGTGCTGTTCGCGCTGCTGCTGGCGGCCGCCGTGCTGGGGCTCGCCTGGGCCTCCACGCGCGCCCCCGAGCCCGCGGCGCCGCCGGCTGAGGCGGCCCCGAGCACGGCCCCCGCCGAGCGCAAGGCCTCGACCCCGAACCCGGCCCCGGCCCCGGCCGACGGAGCGGCGGCCCCCGATGAGGCGGAGGGGCTGCGGCACCGGAACTCTCCCGCGGCCGCCCCCGAGGGCCCCGCCGAGCCCACGCTGGTGCTGCGGCTCAAGTTCCTGAACGACACGGAGCGCCTGGCGCGGGTGCGCCCCGGGGACACCGTCGGTGCGCTCAAGAGGTGAGGCGTGCGGCCAGGGGCGACTTGTCCCGGCTCGGGGACCCCTCCCCGCAGCGCCTGGCAGGGGACAGCGCTGTCCCGGGACAAGCGGCCCGTGCCCGGGTGACCGTGCCCCGGTAGCCGTGCCTGGGGGGCCGTAGGACAGGCCATGCCGGCAGGGGACACCTGGGGCGACTGATGGGCACAGGCACGCTCGGGTGTGAGAGCAGGGCAGGGCGGCAGGGTCACGGTGGGTGCGGTGGCAGGGGTGCACAGAGGGCACTGTCCCGGCAGGGGACAGCTGGGGCAGGCGCAAGTGTGCGGGTCAGGGTGGGCGCACTCGGGATGTGGATGAGGAAAGCGAGCTGGCAGGTGACACGTGGCGTGGCTCAGCTGTGCGGGTGGGGTGAGAGGTCACGGTGGGCGCAGGAGGTGGGACAGAGGGACCCGTCCCGTCAGCAGCGTGACCGCCGTCCCTGTCTCCTGCAGGACCTACTTCCCGGGGCAGGAGCAGCAGGTGCGCTTGATCTACCAGGGGCAGCTGCTGCGTGACGACACCCAGAGCCTGGCGGGGCTGCACCTGGGCCACCTGAGCGTCCTGCACTGCCACCTGTCCCCGCCCAGCGCGGCCCCCACGGCCCCCGGCAGCCCCGGTCCCCGCAGCCCCGCGCCCGCCGCGCTGGGCGTGGGCAGCCTGGCGCTGCCGCTCTTCGTGCTGCTGCTGGCCCTGCTCTGGTACCTGCAGCTGCAGCACCGACACGTCTTCACCGCCACCGCCACCACCTGCCTGGCCGGCCTCACCCTGCTCGTCACCTTCGTGGCCTTCGCTATGTACCGCAGATAGCGCGGCCCGGACCAGCCCTGGGACACGCGGGACCTGGAGCCACGCCCGGGACACTCAGAGCCTGCCAGCCCACCTGGGCCGTGCAGGGCTCTGCATTCCGCCCGCTCAGCGCACCGGGGGCACGTGGGGCCTGCCCGCCGCCTGAAGCGGGACTGGGCCCTGGGCTGTGTCCCCCAGGAGTCCCGAGCAGGCGCCCACCCGGCCCTGTCTGCACACAGGGGCTGTGGCAGGAGTGGGGGCTCAGCTACCTCGGGGGGGTCCCGGTGCCCCCGTCCCTGCACGGAGCATCCCCCCAGCCACTCCGCGTGCAGAAGCTCCGAGCTGCTGTCCGTGCCCCGTGAGCTTCTCCTCGTGGGACTGCGGCCTGGCTCCTCCCGGGGTCCCAGTGCCTGGGGAGGGACATGAGCCCCTGGGGTGCCGAGGGTCCTGGTGCCGGTGGGATGCGTTCCTGAGGTCTCTGTGCCGGGGGAAGATCTGTGCCCCCAAGCGGTCCCGGTGCCGGGGGTGGCTGCACTCCCCACTGTCCCGGGGTTCCGATGCTGTGTTGGGGGGTGCCACCCCCCGCCGCCGTTCCGATTAAAGCGGACAGACTGTGACCGGCCGTGGCGTCCCGGCAGTGCTGCGCCGCGGGGCGGGGCGGGGCTGGCGGCGGCCGCGTGTCACCGGGGCACCGGAGGGGCGGGGCTCCGGGAGGGGCGGGGCCCGGCTCCTCCCGCCGCGCGCTCCGCAGCGCCGTAGCGCGCCTGCGCTGGTGGCACCGCCCCGCTCTCAGCGGAGCTCTCGCTCATTGGCGGAGGCGCGGCGCTGATTTGCATGCAGCGCGCGCCGGCCCCGCCCCGGAAGTGCCGCGCGTGGGGCGGGGCCGCAGGAAGATGGCGGCGCGGCTGCGCTCCCGGGCCGTGTCCGTGTCCCGGCGGCGCTGAGCGGCGGCGGTGGCGGCGGGAGCGAGCGGCCGCCAGCGCCATGTACGGCCGGGCCGGATGGGGGTGGGGGGCAGGGAATCCCGCCGGGGGGATCAGGGCGGGCCTGGTGCCGGTGGAGGTCGGGGTATGCCCGGGAGAGGGGCGGGCGCTGAGGGGCGGGGGACACCGGGCAGGCGGGAGGTCCCGGCACCACGGGGCCGGGCGGGACGTGGGCCCGGACAGGGCGGCGGGCCCGGTGCCGGGGAGCTGTGCGGGCGGGGCGGCCGGGGGTGGGATCCCGGTGGGTGGGGGAGTGCCCGTGCCCCCCGCCGGCCCGGCCGTCCCGCGGTTCCCCCGTCACGGCGCCGCCGCTCTGTCCCGCAGGGTCCTCCGGAGCCGCGGAGCCCCCCGCGCCGCGCCGCCCCCGCCATGCTGTGCCCGCTGCTGTGCCCATGGCTCCGCGCTCTGACCCGGGCGGGCCCGCGGGGCCCGGCTGCCCGTGAGCGCCGCGGTGCCGCGATGTTCCCCGCCTGCTGCTGCGCCGGCAAGGCCAGGCCGCGGCTGCTGCTGCCCCTGGACCCCTACGGCCATGGGCTGCTGCCCACCGTGCACCCGGACGGCGGCCGGGGCCGGGCCCACGGCAAGAGGAAGAGCTGGAACTTCATCCACGAGAAGATGAGCTACGACACCTTCTTCACCATGAAGCGGCTGATCGAGCGCTCGCGCAGCGTGGGCGAGGTGCTGCGCTGGGTCACGCAGAACCCGGGCAAGGTGTCGGCCAGTCACTACCCCATAGCGCTTCACAAGCTGGGACAGCTCCTGCAGCAGCAGCCGGGGCCGCCCGCGGGCGCTGGGGACAGCCGCGGGCCCGCGGGGCAGGTGCTGGAGCAGCCCGAGTTCCACGTGCTCTGCCAGGCCATCGTCAGCGGCTGCGCCAAGTTCGACAACTTCAGCATCGTCAACTGCCTGTACGCGGCGGCCGCGCTGGGTGAGCCCCGGGCCGCACGGGGGGGGAGCACGGCGCTGCACGGGGCGTTTCCGTAGCGCTGGGTTTGTGGCAAACAGCTGTGACCTGGGGGGCTCTGGGCAGGGGGGCTCTGCTCCTCTCGGGCAGGAGGCTGAGTGTCCCTGGCTGACCAGGAGGTCGATGCTGGCCAGCCCTGCTTGGCAGGGTGTGTATCAGCCACTCCTGGGCCGTGTCTAGTTGCAGCTTGAGTTCCAAGCCCTGAAAACCAGGAAACACCTGACTGCTGATGGGGGACACCCTGGGTTTGGCTGCACTCTTGAAGGGCACAAGCCCCCATGTCACTGGGTGTTGCTGTGTGCAAGAGAGGGTTTGAGGTGTTTGGGTTCCTGTGCAGCTTCCTTGGGGTGCAGCTGAGCTGGGGAGGCTGCATCCCTGGGGGCTGTGTCCCAGGGAACGCTGCGTCCCAGAGGCTCCTCCTTCTGCGGGCTGGGGTGACCCTGCAAGTTCTGCTAGCAAGGGGATGGGGTCCACATCCAAAGAGGAGTGGACAGCAGGGCAGCAGTGGATAGTGGGGCAGTAGGGGAAATCTTCCCCTCTGTCCCACTCAAGTGAGGCCCTACCTGCAGTGCTGCTTCCAGCTCTGAAGCCCAACAGCAGAAAGACAAGGAGCAAGGCCACGGAGATGCTCTGAGAGATGCTGGCTGGAGAGGGACTTTGGACAAGGGCCTGGAGGGACAGGACAAGGGGGAATGGTTTCCCACAGCCAGAGGGCAGGGTTAGATGGGATATTGGGAAGGAATTCTTCCCTGGGAGGCCCTGGCACAAGTTGCTCAGAGAAGCTGTTGCTGCCCCATCCCTAGAAGTGTTCAAGGCCAAGTTGGAGCAACCTGGTCTAGTGGAAGGTGTCCCTGGTCACGGCAGGAGGTTGTAACTGGATGATCTTTAAGGTCCCTTCCAACCCAAACAATTCCAGGATTCCACGATCTGGCGGGTGCCTGCGCTCCTTCCATGGCTCCCCCCGTCCTGCTCTTGTTCCCGTTCCCTGCAGCCTTGCCGGGCCGGGGCTCGGTGGAGCCGCCCGGCCGGGGTTGACGCAGTAACTCGAGCCCCTGCCGGGGCTGGGGGCGGTGCTGCCCGCCGTCCCGGGCCGGCGGCGCCGGGTGTTTGTTGACACTGAGCCGGTGCTGCTGCCCTCGCCAGGCTCCCCATGCTGGGCCCCCCACAGCTCTGCTGTGCCCCCCACTTTGTTCTGCCCCCTTGTCCCTCATTAACACAAACTCCAGCTTTCTTTTGAGGCCTTTTTACAGAACAAAGCGGCTGCTCAGACCAATTCTGCACATTCCCCCAGCTGAGTTCTGATTAACAATAACCCGCAGTGACTCGCCCTGCGCTGCCCTGCGGCCTGTGCCCGCCCAAATCCCGGGGTGATGGGGAACTCCAGGCCCCCCCAGTGCTCTTTGCCTCTGCTGAGGAGATCCCTCCTGACAGCCAAGGCACTGAGCCTGTGCCCAGGCCTGGATAACACGTCCTGAGCTGCAGGGAAGTGTTTCCCTGGGAGCCAGGTCGCACAAGCTAAAGCTGAGCTGGGAAACAGGAGAAGGTCAAAAAAGCCAAAGGATTAGTCCCTGCTGGAACAAACAGGGTTTAGTTTGGTCACATGGGATGTCACAGTTGTTTTCCAACCACAACTTTTTTTAATGAACTTTTTGAGGCGAGTTTTTTGAGTACCCAGAGCCCCTGGAAGTGCTCCAGGCCAGGTTGGAGCAACGTGGTCTAGTGGAAGTGTCCCTGCCCATGGCAGGGGGGTGGAACTGGATGGGATTTAAGGTTCCTTCCAACCCAAAACAGTCTGAGATTTTGGGATTCTATGAATTACTTGTCTTTGAGATGTTTGAGACTTAGGAAATGAACCTTGCTACTGCGGGTGAGCTGCAGGGCTCCCGTTCCAGTGGGACGGGTGGGATGACCCCACAGCCCCACGCAGTGTTTCCCGTGGTGCGGATGCTCTGCTGTTCTCGGTGCTTTGCCTTCCCCTCCCTTCCCCTTCTCGGCTTGGTCACTGACCCAGTCATGGCAGCGGCCTCCTGCCCGAGCCCCGGAGGTGGTTGTGCCGTGGAGCTGAGGCGTGTCCACGGGGCTGAGCCGTGCCTGTGCCCGTCCCCCCGCAGGGCTGCCCGGGGAGTCTCCGCTCGTGCGGGTGCTGGAGGACGAGTCCCGCAGCCGCCTGGGCCGCTTCAACCAGAAGGACGTGTCGATGGTGTTCAGCAGCGTGATGCGGCTGCACCCCTCCAGCCCCCACCCGCTGGTGGAGTCGTGCCTCAGCAGCCTGGAGCGGCACCTGGAGAAGGAGCGGCACCCCCAGACCCTCTTTCTGCTGCTCTCCTACTACCGGCTGCGGGCGCAGGCGCTGCAGGGCCACGCCGCCTCCGACCAGCAGCTCATCAACAACCGCAAGATCCTGCGCCTGGTGCGGCACACGCTGGGCCAGGTCAGCGCCATGAGGGAGCACGAGCTGGCGCTGCTGGACGAGATGCTGGCCCTGTGTGCCCAGGAGGCCAACAACAAGGCCCTGGAGGCCATCTTCAGCTCCCAGCTCTTCTACGAGAACCGGCAGGAGCGCTTCATTCGCAGCATGGCAGGTGAGGGGTGCCTGGGGGAGGGTCCAGTGCTGCCACCAGCATTGGGGGTGCAGGGCTCTGGTCAGGCAGAGGACATGGGGGCCTCTGGCCAGGTGGGGGGCAGCCTCACAGACTCCTTCCCTGGCCCTGGATATGTTTGGGTGGTGCAGCCTCAGCTGGGACCCTGCTGAGCCCTCGAAGTAAGTGGAGCAGAGGGAGCCTTGTGTCATAGCCACCCTTGTCACTGACAGCTGAGCCCTTTGACAGGCTGGGAGCCCCCCATTAATCTAGGGACTGGGAGGGATCAGGAGCCCCCCCATTCTTTCGGGGACTGTTTTCCCACGGTGCCTTTGGGCTGGGCACAGTGGAGTTTTGGTGGGGTTTTGCAGAAGGCCCCACCTGTGCACATTCCAGCTGTGCTCCATCTGTCTTCTGGCTGTGTATGACAGCAGTCTGCCTCAGCCTCTCACCTGACCCATACCTGAGGGTTTTTATGAGCTGCCTGGCTTTTGAGGTTTTTGGGACTGGCCCTCCTGTCCGGTCCTGTCCTCCCACCCCACCTGCCCAGACTGTGGTGGCTGCAGAGGACCTGGGGTGGGGACAGAGCTAGCCCTGTGACTGCCTCCCTGCTGTGTTGGCTCGGCAGAGTGGCTGCCCCGGAAGGCAGAGAACCTCACCCCCTACACCATGGCCCTCATTGCCAAGTACGTGGCACGGCACCGGCTGCGCGAGCCGCGGCTGCTCGACACCATCGCCAACTTCCTGCTGAAGCGCGGCGAGCAGCTCGACAGCAAGGTGAGCGCTCCCTCCATCTGTGGGCACACCTGGGCATGGGAGCCATGGCCCTTCTCCGTCACAAAGGGGCATTCCAGGGGACCAGGGGCCGTGCCCCAGTCCCGGCAGGTGCTGAGCATCCGTCTTTTCACAGCACTGGGCAGGTGGCCCCGACCTGTCCCTTGTCCCAGCCCGGCCCCACACGCCTCTCTTGCCACAGGTGATCCAGAAGTTGGTGTTTCCCTTCAGCCGGATGAACTACCGTCCCTCCAACCACGGCGAGCTCTTCCCCAAGCTGGAGGCCATCTTGGAGCAGAAGGCCGGCAGCTCCCCAC